TACAGGAGTTTACAGGTTTCAACAAAGTCTACCTGTTAATTAACATGAATCTCTCGAGAGGAACTGGTGAAAGTGAAAATGCCCCTCGCAAACTGAACTGCGCCTGATTTTGCAACGATTTTTGTAATAGGTGATTTTTTTCTTCATGTTTCTGGGTGCGACAGCGTTTGAAAATTTTTTTCCAAAATTCCGAGGGTTTCTAAGAAACAGGTTAATAAACGTTATGCGTATTTCGCATAGTTGAAGAGGAAGCTTTTCGCCACTATTCACGGCCTCTGTTGGTCCATCCGGTGCGACATTGCGCTCTCCGACCAATAAATGTTATCGATCGAGGGTTTAAAGTATTGCAAGAAACGATAATTGACAACAGCCTCTACCACGCCAATAAACAACATTTTCATGTTGAAATGGCGATAAGGGTAGCGCACTGGAAGTTGAAAAGGTGGGGGGGGGGGCGAGAGCAAAAACTCGTTCCTATGCTGCCGAAGTTATCTATAAATGTCAGTGAGAGAGGAAGAAATTGTCAGAGAAACAATAACTATGTAGTTGGCGTAGGCTCGCACTCTTCGCGAAGACCTTGAGAGAGCGTCTTGATGTTCACGTGGTCGCGCGAGAGATGATAAAAACGAGATGAAACTATTTGAAACTACTGCGAACCGACTACACCCCTTACAAACCGCGGCGTCGGCTACGGACAACAGAAAAAGTGGGAAAACTTGACGGAAAGTGATCTTGGAAAGATGAATGAACGGAAAAGACTGCACAATGGATTGTTTTGTGGTCAACTCTGCAAAACATGGCCGACCTTGGAAATTAAATGTTTTGGGTGAAGTTCAGGACATTCAGGGTGTGGCATCGCATGCAAACCAGCTAGTGTTCTTGGCTAGTTGACGCGAAAGCACTTTGATGTCAAATCAATCGCATGCGCTATTTGGCTTGGAAGTAGCATTTCGCACTTTGGCCAGTTCCTTTTGTCAGTTCGTTTTCACCATCTTATCAGAATAAGACTTGTAAACCTGCGTGCGAAATGGTCCGAGTTATCCTTCTTGGTGGCAAGAATTTATAGATCCTCACAAGGTGGCCAGCAGAGTGCCATTAAATGCCCCCACCAAGCTGTGTTACTCACAATGAGTCAAGGCAGCGGACATCCTTTAATTTATATTCTGTATTTGTATTTATTTATTTACTTTATTCGTTCATATTTATTTATATTTATTCCTTACATTATATTCCATATTCTATGCTTCACCTGAGTGTAAGTTGCTATGACTTTTGCTTCTGTCTAGGCAAGATACGACTCACATCGAATAAGTACGACTCCTCCCACCCCTTCTCCCTCTTCCCCCCCCCCACCCCGACGGCCAGTTGCGGCCTACCCCCATGAGCGCTGATTCCAAAGGAGCGGTTCTTATTTGAAATAATTGGTTAGAGTCATTCGTTTTCCTGCGGTTCAGTCAGACCGAATACATTCATTGACGCCAATTGAAGATTGAAGTCTGGAGATTGGTGAAATAATAGGTTTTCATATTGAAATACTGGATTAGGTTTCTGCAAATAATATTTGCTTTGAGGGGAACGTTGGAAATTCGAAGTTGCCTAGCAGGCTAGAAAGTTGCTAAAACCCGGAATTTTCGGCGCTTTCATGGATTTTGAGGTGGTAAGGGTTTTATGTCGATGGGTAGTCATCATGGGATCCACTAGGCCTCAGTGTCCCATTTTTGTAACCAAAGGGGGTATGTAGTACAAATGAAACAGGAAAAATCACGCGAAAAGTCAACAATCGGAATTGTTCGCAAAACGGTAAATTCCTCCCAAAGGCACACATCACCCCTCTCCCAAATAGGACCCCCCTCCCCAAGCGGAAAAGTACGACTCCTTAAGTGTTTCAAACAACGATGCTGTACCCTGACTGCCGATTAAATCAAAGCGAATTTACCATTTTTCCCACTTCCGGGGCCCTTTCAGATGTTCATACCTCTGCTTTTTGAATCAAATTCTTCTGGAATGGTCAGGGAGGAATGTATAAGAGAGCGCTGTCTTTCGATTTGTAGATTTGTGGCCAATTTTTCCATTTTCGCATTCGGATTGTGCATCGGAGCCATCAAAAAGAAGAGAAGGGATTGCCAAAGTAATTGCACTGAAAGAAATCGATTAGCCGAAAAGCTCTAGAGAGTGGTTTCATTAGGATGATAAATATCTGGTCTTCGCCAAGTCAAGGGACTGGCGTTGCAATAAATTCGTAATAGTAAGTGTCTTTCTGCTATGAAATATCGCATAGTTAAGGGAAATGGTTGAGTTATAGTGGGTATTGAGTCTGAGAAAAGAAAAATTAAATGGAGTTAATAATTTCTCTTGAAAGGGGTGGTAGTATTTTTGAGCGCGGAATCTTGGGGTAGGCATTTGTAGAACTTCGACGAAGGTTAGATTGGTGCCATGAAAATGAGGATTTCTGCTAATAAGTGGGTCTAAAGTGGGAAGGGATATGGTGTTGGTGGACCAGTTTAAGGGACGGTACTTTTTTTGGGTGCGTGAGTACCGTGAGGCACGTTTGCGTTGGGAGTCCTTTCGAATGCCCCCGTAACGCCTATTTTTAGGTATCCTATCCCGAATTTTCGAATAGCTAAGCGGGCAGACGTATAGTTCCACCCAGATTAGCATAAGCAGTTTTCGCGAAGCGGCAGCAATCTTGCGCGAAGCTTGCGCGCCCTTATCGGTCCACAGACACGAGGCCCCGCCCTCTGCAACCCCGCCCACTTTCGTGGAAAGTTCGTGGAAGCTTCTCAGGTTTTGTTAATTACTTTCTTTAAAAAGGCTTCTGCAGAATGTGGCCTTCTGCAAGCATACTATGATTGATCCTTTACCTTTAACAACTTGTGACCCGCGCCCAGCAGCCCTGCCCCCTTTTTTAATGGTTCAGGTGGGACAATTCTACA